TGTTCAGATTCAATGTGTAAAATGTTATTTACTCTCCATTTAAATTGTCAGAGGTGTCATGACAACATGTCTTTTGATTGGAACAGCCAAAATTAACACGTAGCCAAGGTTTTAAAAAGACATTTTTTGCAATCCTGTCAACACATTCGATGCCATCTTATCAGATGTAGTTCTAACTTTTCTCTTCACATTTTATTTGAAATGCCCAATGTCCTCAGTAATTTTTCAATGACATGGAAAGATTCAGAAATCTTTATGTATGATGTGCCTCTGCTAATAATCTTTCAATATGTTTATTCAGGTTTTAGGATTGAAAACTATTTTTTTAAAGAACTCTCTGAGCTTATACTTCTTATAAAATTTTCGTAAAACATTTAAAAGATGTAAAATGAACAAAAATTCTAAGAATTTCTTCACATGAGAGATTCTTATGAAAAGAAGAGAATTTTCATAAAAAAAATCCACAAACAAAATAAAGAAACACAATTACAATCCTTCACAATCCTTCACAATCCCGGTATCACATCGCCCATAGCATCGACCTTCTCTGCAATCCCCCATCCATCCACCAGTATATTGATATTGAAATACAGCAATGATCTCATGAAACAAATTGTGAAGATAAAGTAAATATTGATGGCCATATCTAATAAAAATAAGAGACTCAGCCAGATGAGACTGTGGAATGACCTGGTGATAAACAGAAGCCTCACATAGTATAACCTGAACAGCACAGCCCATATATTTGCCAGTATTGCAATATTGACATTTCTTCTATTGATATAAGTGCAACATACTCTGAAATGAAACACCTTCAGATATGACAGTACGATGATGTACTGCTCTTGCTGGCAAAATCTATGCGTTTGCAAGTTATAACAATACTGGTTCTACTCGAACCTTTAAACAAATGTTTAAATTAAAATGGTTTATTCGCAATAATAATACTTAAGCAAGTAACAATATGAGAGTTCAATAGCAGAGTAGATAGTTTGTAATAGCAGGTTGCCAAATTACCAAACTGTCTTCCAATGTTGAGGAGTAGATGGATGGTTCCAGTGGAGGTTGTTTCCAGATGATTTTCCCAGGTCCTTGGGTCCAGATGGAAGCTGCATGCCAAATGAGAATAATGAGGATTTATACACTTTGAGGTTTGTCTCTGACATCCAATCATCACTTTACAGTTGCCGAAATGTGTAGTTCATATTTATCTTTAGTAACAGGATGTTACAAGGTTCAACATTTAGGAAGGTTAATTGAATTATAACTTGGCCACACCCTAGGCAAGTTAATTAAATTATAACTTGGCCAAACCTTTATTGGTAATTAAAGATGAACCTTCAAGCTGACTAATCAGACTTATGTTTGGCCAATGTTATAGCATTTTCTTGCGTAGGTTTTAAGATGTACATGTATATGTTGCATAAAATAATAGAGTTCAAGCATGTAAAATATAACCAAAGTTGTACAACTTCCCCCTTCTTTGTGAAGATGAGTCCCTTCATCTTGATTTAATGAGAATTAGTTTTTGAGCTACATTGCCTTGAAGTTTAGTGCATCTCTTTTATGTAATTCATTAAATAATTTATTTTTTTATATAAGTTACTTTTGAACAGTACATTAAATGTCAGCCTATAATCATATTTTCGTCACAAAATTTTTATTCTGTTATTAATTAAGTTAAAGCTTTCAAAAACTGTACATAGATTGATATTATTACGCCTATATCAAATCTTTTTACAGAACTCAATTATCTTTTATGGTTCAAAAGATATGGCGCTGTCACGTTTTATTCATTATTCTTTATTTGTGAGCTTTATGAAATATTCGTCAGGGTTAAACTAACTCTGTTATTAATAATCATAAAGCTTTCAAAGTTGGTACATAGATTAATATTAGTGGGCCTATTATAAATCTTTTTACAGAATCCAAATATCTCTTTTAGCTCAAAAGTTATGGCAACTTTATATTTTAATTGATACTTTGTATATAGACCTACAAAAAACATTTGTCGTCTGAAATCTAACTTTGTTATTACTTAACTTAGAGCTTTGAAACTTGGTATATTGACTATTTTTGGTTTGCCAATCTCAAATCTGCTTACAGAATCCAAATATCAGTTACTATTAGAAGTTAAGGTGTTTTACAGTTTGCTATTATAAGGAAATTAGAAACAATTCCAACAGAGTGTTTATCTAGAAAAATTTTCTACCTACCAGAATGGAAAGTACATTTAAAATAGCCAAACTGCAGTTTATTGACTAATTGTTGTTAATTAAGATAGAGATTTGAAATTCAGTACATACATTAATACTATAATGCTGATATCAAGTTACAACAAACTCTTATCTCTCTTTAACATGTTTGTAGAACTTTCTCACACTCAGATGTAATTTGATTATCAGTGATTTTAAAGTTTACTAACTAACTTCATGTCTCCACATTGGTGTTATATAATTTTATCTAGGCCAGATTAGCTTATGGCATGTTCCCACAGGATTTTCCATGTGTCTTATATATATTATAAATGTTTTTTTCACAGAAATCATTTATAGTTTGAAGATTAAGGAGTCAACATCACCTTAAAAATAGCTGGTCTTATGAACAACTTCAACAATTCCTTTCAAAATATACATCCTTCAATGATATAATGGTATGTAGATATGTCATTGAACAGGAAAGTGTGTTATATATATTTTGAATGTTTTATTCACATGGTTCATATTTAGTTTGAAGAATAAGGAGTCAAAATCACATTTAAAATACCCAGTTAAATGAACATCCCCTACAATTGCTGATGATTTTAAAATGGTATGTACAAATTCTGATATACAGTATCATAATACATAGCACTTTCAATATGATATATATTAAAAAAAACCTGGCGATTGTATTTCTCTCAAAGGTTTTTGAATAAGTAGTACACAGGTATAAAATAGTAACAGATTAATTTTTGTTTACAGCCTTCAGAAGCATATTACACAGTATTGAGTTATTGAAGTCTTAAACTGGTTTTTTTGCTATTCATTTTATCATAAACTCCATATTGTCAAAAAAATATAAAAGATATATATATGTATATATATCAACTAGAATATTTTATACTTTCACACATTTCAAATCTTTTACAAGCTACTTCCAAATCATGAAATATCTTTTGGGCATTTGTCTTGTTATTATGCTGGCACATTGTGCAATTTCTGCACCATTTCAAAGTGAATTGATGGAGTTATTGGATGGAAGAGATGAAGGATTGATGGAAACTCTTCTTATGAGAGAATTATTGGAGAAGGTATTATATATAGAAAATTTATTCCATAAGCTTTATTTGTACTTTTCCTTTCAGCGATATACTAGCAGAAATTCTTGCCTACATTGCAAACGACAATTTTTTGAGAATTGTAATTCAAGAAGATCATATTGTCTTGCAACCTATAATATATCTTTCTAATATCAGAAAGAAGGGGAGAAAAGCTTATGTAAAATTAACAAAAGCTCCACACATTAAGGAAAAACACTAGAATGCATAATTTTTTGAGAGTAGAATGTTTTTATTACATCTGATATTTTTTCTCTTTAATACATATTTTACAAGATTTATGATTACTTGTATTGTACTTTGTTGTATTGTGATTGTAGGAATTTTGTTCTCATCCCAAACATATTTGTCCATACCCCTCATTTAATATTACACCAAAGCACTTGTCCAAATAGAACCTCAACAAATGAATGATATTTGTCCAAAGTTTTATATCAAACTTTCAACAAAAAGCCAGTGTTTTCCAAATAAGATATGTATTGAATATTCTGAGCTTTTATCTCTATCTGTACCCAGCTCACAATGCTATTGTTAAGTATTCATATTAAATAGTATTGAATTAAGTCTATGGTTTTCTAAAAGAGCATCTATATTGAACTGAAGTATCACAATTTATTTTTAAACATTCATTTTTTCACTCACACAGTACTGTCACATATTTTCCCTTTTATACCTCTCACAGTTACCCTTGTCATTTAAGTGTGGGCCTGATTCTACTCGTCTTCAATATTACTAAAAAGATTGAGGGAAACCTCAATTGTAATTCAGACCACATGTTTTTCATTGCTGATTGTAAAAAGTGTAATTGGGCTATGGCTAGCTTCACCATATCTCCACTACATAGAATGTCTGGCTCTTTTGCAAATACCAACACTCTGAATCTATTAGAATGTTGGCTATCCCCATGGTGGCATATTAAAACAGTCTTGTGGAGAATTTGTAAGTGGTTTTGTTGGAGATACAGTTACAGCTTAGGCTGGGGAATTGCTACTCAAGATAGCAACTCCTCAATAGCTACACCAACCCTTAGCCAAAGCTTGGTTATAAGTGTGTGTGCACTTTTGGGATTACCAGTCTGTACTGATTGTGCTAATCCCTAACCCCAAGACCTAACCTAACCTAACCCTACCCGGATTAAAGGCTAATGGGATTATCAATATTGTCAGGCAAAAGATTATTACTGAGGGAATAATGATAACGATGTATTTTTGAAAAATTGATTCGTCAAATGGTCTAACAACGGCTTGGTGTCTCTCCAACGTAACGAGTAGGGTACAAATAGATGATAATATCTGTGAAAATGTCATTAGTGCACCTAATATTTGGCAAATTGTGCCATTTTTCCAAATATTGTCGTTTTCCAGATAGGAATTTGAAAAGTACATATCCGCAATACCAACAAAAAGAATATAGAGAGATGTAACAAAATCACCAAATTCCAAAAAGCCAAAAGATAAGTCTTATCAAATCTAAACTTAATAATCTATCGCAACTGAAAAACATTTGTACAGACGGTAAACAGTCGACATGCTTGCCAATATTCTTCAATACTGGACAGCAAAACTGGAATTTATCACCGAAAATCCTTTTAATCTTTACTAAACCTAATAGACTATTCTTTAATTGTAATAATACAACGTAAGATTCCTTTAAATTTGAAACTATTTGAAATTCAATTTGTGGAAAATTTGTGAATATTTATGTATTAAATCAATCTTTCATAAGTAATGTCTTTTGACATTGTAATAGTAATGTCAGTTTAAAATTTATGAAATAAAAGTATCAAGTTAATAGAGAATTAAAGAAAACACTGATTTCTTCTGTTTGTTTAAGCCAAATTTTTAAATGTGAATTATTCAATTGACTTGAATATTAGTTAATATCTTTGAACATATAGTTGGTCATCTTCATAGGTTTTAAAATTTCATTTGTGTCAAGTAACCAGCAAGCTTGACCATTTCTTTTTACAACATTTCCTTTTAACAAATTTTTGTCCACTTGAACAGCTACTATTTCACTTGTCAAAATATTCTGGTCTACTTGAACTGGTGAGAAGAATTGAAATTCTTTCTTGCCAATATCTCCAATCAATCCACCCATTTCAATATAATTTTTAGGCAAAAGTCCAAAACCTACATCAAGATGCATTTCCCCTAAAAAGTGTTTTGATTTTTCAACAGCAATTTGAAATGATGACTTTAATTCAGTACATAAAAACTTTTTGTCATTTACAATTTCACATTTCAACTCATTTGTCTGAAAAGTCATTTCCTTTATATTTTCATTCCACTCAATATTATGTTTATGACCAAAAAGAATATCATCTAATGCTACTGTGACATTGGCAGATGGAGATTGAATGACAATTTGATGCATATAATAATCATCTTTCAGTTGGCCAAAAACCTTTATTCCACTATTAGAAAATGATGCAATATATATATAATCTCCCATTTTCCCAGTTACATCATAACATATTTGTTTAGTAGACATAGTTGATTGGTCAACAACATTTTGAGCAAAATGTGGATCTCCTGTTGCAGATGCAAATGGTGAAGGAGCAGTTGCAGAGAAGTAAACTGGAATTCTGCTTGTAAATGATTTTCCACCATCTGAGCATACTGAAGAAAGTAAAAGGGAGCTTTGGGAACCAGTTTTAGTAACTACAATTGTCATTGGATCTTGCTGAAATGAAACTGGTCCAAGATTGTCTACTGTGGCTACATTAGCATCTGGTGCAGTTATGCTGAAATAGAGAATAACAGAAAAATAAATGATGATAAACTGAAATTTATTATGAAACATTACCTGCAAGTAGGACCACCAGTACCACCCTCAATGGAAACTGTAACTGGTGAACTTTGTTGAGTTGATATTTCTATCTTAATACCAAATGTTGCTGGTAAACTAGACCCACCAAAATCTAACAAAGCATTATAAATACTTAATAGATATTGACTAAAACATTCCATTGCATACCTTCAATTGAATGAACATATGATTCCATCTGAAAGTTAATGGTGTCACCTTGAAATGAGCAGTCAAAATTATAAGTCGCTAAAAAATCAGCAGTGATCTGTGTAAAAAGAGAACTGGCCAATGTAAAAGATTTAAAGCCATCTATCACTAGTGAGCCTGTAGTTATTTCACTTCCATCTGGTTTATTAAGTGTAAAGCTGGAGAACAAAATTGAATTTTTAAAATTTGTCATTTAACAATAAATAAAAAAATAGAAACCTGCATGTAGGACTTCCAGTACCTTTAGTAAAATACATATAATCTTCCGAACCTTCTATCATCTGAGCAGGAACCTGAACTTTCAAGTCAAAGTTGTTTGCATGAGTTCCATAAACTGTTAATTAAAAAAGGCAATATATAAGTTTGATTATATATTAGTTTTTTGTGAAATATAACCAAAAATAAAAAAGAGAATAGTAAAATTGTAGATTGTTGAACCCATCGTGATTTCTCGGACAACTGTGAATATTTTGCAAGTTTTGTATGTTTTGTGAGCAATTGGCCTAACTCAATTTTTCATAAACTTTTTTTCTTAATAGTTCAGTTCTATTGTAAAAATTAAATGCAATTGTATATTTTATTCTATCCTCTTTTGTACAAATACATAATAGCTTCAAACAGTATTTTAGCCTATTTGTTTATGAGTCTCTTTGATAAAGGTCTAGTCAGCATGATATATTTACCATTCAAACACCTGATCTACTAACTTGTTTAGAGTAAGACAAAAGAACATGGGCAGATTCTACAGTGAAGCCAGTAACCTTAATGGCCTAGGTTAATGTCAGTGATTACTACAACACAATGTGGCATTAAATTTATAATCACCTTTAATTTTGACCTTCACCTTTAATTCAATCAATTTCAAATATTTGTGAATAATTTAGTATATTTTCACATTTTCTTACTGTGGACTAAGGGGTTTTAACCAACTCAAAGATGTTTACTATACGCCTCTTGGTCATAATAGTATTAAGTGAAAAGAAAATTAAAATGAAATTATTGAGCAAAGATTTTGGTTAAAAAACAATATACATTTTTCTTACTAGATGAAGCAAGGAACATTTTAACAATACTTTTCAATAGATTTCTTCTGCTATTTCTGATAAGCATAAAAGTGTGGTAAATTTGAGGGCTGACTCACATTTTCTTATAAAACATTCAAATGCCATGTCCACAAACAGTTGAAAATATTATAAATTATACCTCTTGTCATTTAAATTTGAATGAGTAATTTTTTGTGAGAGTTTAACAAAAGAAATCCAGGTGAATTTCAAAAGAGTGCTTATCTCCTTAAATCAAGAATTTGCAAGACAAATTCTATGAGAATTTAAGTTAGCAAAAAAAAACAGAGTTGTAAAGATAAAAATTCTGTAAAATAAATTTATACCAAGGTTACCTGGTATATAAAAAACTTGTTTTTTTTTACATAAAGGTTACACATGTAAGCCTATAGATTAAATTAATGACAAATTTTAACTTTTGAACCATAATGGATAATTAAATTCCATAAATGGATTTGAAATTTGCATGCAAAAATCACCATGAATGACAAATTTCAGAGCTGATTTTTAAATATAAATAAAGTTAATTTAACCTTGACAAATATTGTATGTAGGCTTATATGCAAAAAATAACAACCAAAATTTGACAGCATCATAACTGTAGAACCATAAGAGATAATTGAATTCTATAAAAATAGAAAACTCTGTCTTAATTGATAAAAGAGTTAATTTTTTTTCTTTAAAAATCACATCTCAGAAACTACTTGGCTGATTTCAATAAAATTTAAAGCAAAATTATTGACAATTATAAAGATATCTCTCATGCCAATTTTTATTCTTATGAATATTTTAGAGAAAATGTACTGAACCTTAACAACCCTATCTCAAAAGGAATAATAGGTAATTGAACTTTTGTAAAGAGATTTATGATTGATTAGGAAAATATGAATTTTTTTTGTGTCCAATGAAATCTCTATACACACACATTCGTCAGCTTTATTCTATAGTAGATAAGGGGGGCTGTTGAAAACACCCATTTTGGTGTCTTTTTGGGGTGAGATTTTGGGTTGGGAATAGGTTAGGGAAAATATGAAAGTATTTGGTTTGTAATTAGGTGGGTCCAAACTTAGGGTTAGGAACAATGGAACCCTTAGAAGTGAGTCCAGGGCTGGGTTAGGGTTAGGGTAAAACCACAAAACTGTTGGCGTTTTCAACAACATCTGCAGATAAGTAGTATTAAACTAGTATTGCACTGTGCTGATAGCTAATATAGAGATAAGCAGGCTTGACCTACTTTTGTGTAGGGTGGTGCCTGTACAAGGCGTGGCAACATATTTTCAAGCTAAATTTTGCAATTTACAATTGAACTTGAATTTTACAATATGATTAATATATAAACTTATAAACCCAAATAATAATGACTTTAATTAATTGTTTATTATGGACTCTTTGAAGTCTTAGATCCTATTCATTATTAAGTAGTATTGAACATATAATACGAATTGTGGAGAAAATGTCCACTGGAGAAAATGTCCACTGTTTGGAGAAAATGTCCACTGGAGAAAACATGCTCTGTGTAAAATATTCACTGGAGAAAATGTTGACTATGTACATAAGATGTGGAAAAAAGGTTATTAAAATTTCAATTTGTGAATATTTGTTATTGGATATAGAATTTACATATTTCTTAGAAATATAATTGTTATATGGAAGTTAAGATTTATATTTTGTGGTGTATCCAATACATTCCCATAATACACACATTCTCAATGTTCCTTCTTTCTTTTTCACAAAAACAATTGGTGAAGCCCATTGGCTTTTACTTGCTCTAATTAAACCGTTCTCTAGTAATCCATTAAGTTGATCCCTGCATTCCTGTTGTTTGTTGGGTGGTAATCTGTATGGTCTTTGTTTAAAAGGTTTCACATCTTCCAATAATTCAATTGCCATTGGTGGGACATCTGGTGAACCAATATCATTTTGATTTGTAGCAATAATGTCTTCATAATTCTTGATCATGTCTTATAATTCTTCTCTGCTTTTGTCAAGATTATTTTTGGACACATGTAAATAATTGTCAATTTCTACTGTATTTGAATTAATATTGTGTACATTTTGGTCAGACAAATGTTCAAACTCAATACTTTCCAGCTGTAATTCTTCTATTTCAGGAGTTGTTGGAGTCTTCTTTTGTTCTTTTTCAATTTTGATAGTTATTCCATCTTCTAATTCTATGTATTGTGTTTTCATTTCCATTTCTGTAGCCAATTCTTCAGTTGTGTTTTCAGCTTCATCTTCAGATGAATTAATGATAATAACTGAGTTGTTATCTGAAGCAGTTGCATTGCCAGTCTCTTCATCAGATGAATCTATAACAATAACTGAGTCATTGTCAGAATCAGGTGTGTTGTCAGTTGCTTCTTCAGATGAGTTTGTGCAATTCACTAAGTCCAAATCTGAGTCTGAGTTATTGTCTGGTTCAGCACTTGCTTCTGAACCATAATCTTCAGAAGTACTGGAAGTTTCATCTGTGCCATAGTTGCTATTTGAGTCAAAGCCATGGAATTCCTCATAGACTATGCTTGAACCAAAAGTATTGCTTGTATCATATCCAGTATCTGGATCAGTAATTTCCATATCTGAGTCCACACTATCTGAAACTTCTGAAGGAGTGTCATACTCTTGATAGTGTTGTCCAATCATTCCAACAGTTACTTTTTGTATGTTGCCTTGTTTTCTAAACTTGGTTTGGTGGTTTTGATTTTGTTGCAGAAACTTTTTAACTGGTTCCCCTTTTCTGATAAAGAATGGAAGAGAAACTTGTTTTGTTGCAAAATTAAAAAGAGCTCCAGTATTTTCTAGGAAATCACAACCAAGAATTATAGCTATATCAAGTTTTTCCAAAATAAAAAATTCTTCCAGCAAACTGGATGTTTAGTTTGGTTTTTCCTTTTGTCTTTAAAGCATTTCCCTCTGCTGAAGTAATAATTGGTAAGCCAGTGGTATTCATCTTTATGAATTTTGGGTCCATTAACTTGATTTCTTTTTCTGTAATAAAGGATAAAAGTGCTCCTGAGTCACATAAAGCAATGACCTCTCTTCCATTATGATTTTTCATTCAAAATTGAAACAATACTAGTTTAATACTACTTATTTATTGTAAAATAGAGCTGGCGAATGTATTGTACCTATGTGTACATATTTACTAATTAAATTTTTGATTTCAGTATAAATTTTCAAAAAATATTTTTTATATTTTTGAATTTTTAAAACATTTTTTAAATATGAATTTTAATATAAAAATTGTAAAAATATTTTGGCATTTACATTCTTTCATCCAATTTGCATATGGATTTGCATTCAAAATAGGATCAGATAACTCTGTTACTTTTATAGCAGAGGTTTATGATGATGAATCAAAGGAATTTTATCCAGTGTTATTTAATAAATGTGCTAAACATAATTTAACTGAATTTTGTGCCAATTCCAAAAATTTTGACAATTTATATGTTGAAATGCAATCTTGTCAATCAAAGCTAAAAAGTGAGTGATTTGCTCTAAATTTTTTTTGACACCTAGGAAATTTCAAATTATACTTTTAGAAAGAAAATTTTTTGAATACATAAATGGTGAATATGTTTTAAAAAGAATTTCAAATGACAGTACTCATTTCATAATTAATTACTTATGTATTACTTGTTGGAAAAGAACAAAATGTTTGTTTCAAGAGAAATAGGACAAAAATCCAGTTTATTTTGCTTGTTTCTGTTCAAATTTTTAGATATTTTTCCAGTACAAAATGATAAATATCATTTCAACATTACTTATAGGGATTATATGACCAATTATCGTGTAATTCACTTTCAAACAAATAGATTAAGTATTTGTAGACAAATCCAGTTCAAATGGAGAATGATAGAATACTGATATTTTCAACTTTAAAGCAAATTGACTTATTATCAAAGGGTAAAATATGGTTTATGGATGGCACATTTAAATGTGTAAAAGACCCATTTTATCAACTTTTTTCCATTCATGGATTCATCAAAAAGAATGGTGAGATGAAACAAGTTCCAATGGCATTTGCTTTTATGGGATCCAAGAAAAAGGTGGCTTACAAGAAACTTTTTAAGGTACAGAAACTTTACATTTCAACTTTAATGATCTAATAACTTTCAAAGCAGGCAATGCAAGATTTAACAAATGGACATAGCCCTAAAAAAATTGTTGTGGACTTTGAAAAGGCTATTTGGAAAGCTTTATCCTCCACTTATCCTCAGACAATCATTAAAGGATGTGTTTTTCACTGGACTCAAGCAGTTTATAGAAAGATTCAAGTAATTGAATCAACCACTTCAGATGCAGATATAATACATATGTTTTTTTTCCAGGAATTGGGATTTTGTAAGATGTACAAGGAAAGAGGAGCAGAATATGATGTCATGAAGAAGTTAATGACCTTACCTTTCCTGCCTTCTGATTTAGTTCAACCAACTTTTCAGGCTATAAAAGAAATATGTTCCTTTGAAATACATCCTTTATTTGAGAACATTGAAACTCAATGGATAGATGGATATTTTAAACCAGAGATGTGGTCTGTATAT